ATGGTGGTTCTGTTGTAAATGCAATGTCTCAAAGATTGTTGATGAAGTTGGGGATGCGACTTTCCAGACCTTCGAGTATAATTGTTGGTATGGCTAACAAACAGAAGGTAAAACCACTTGGTGTGGTTGACAATGTCGTGGTAAGTGTGAGAGGAGTGCAAACCTTGCTTTACTTCCAAGTACTTAAGGAAGCTAGCTATGATTTGCTGTTGGGACGTCCTTGGTTGAGGGGGGTGACGACTACTGATCGACTACTGATACACAAGAACTATCTGAGGATAGGTCCCAAGAACCATCGAGTGAAGGTTCATTTGACAAGAGGAGGAAGTTCCGTTACCGACTCAGATAGATCAACCGACGAATACTGAGAATCTGAGAGTGAGAAGAGTGGCAGTTTTTCAGAAATTGACACTGACAGGTCAACTTCTGATCAAGAAACATCTTCAGACGACTCTTCTAATGATGATTTACAAGTTCAAGTGGTTGCTGCCATGGAGTTGCTTCCTAGACCGGAGGTGAAGAAAGATCCGGACAAAGTGGAGATGAGCGAGGAGGAGGTGTGTCGAAGACTTTCCACCCTCAAGTTTGGTCCAAATGTTACCATGGAGGAGAAGGCAAGATTTTTGGGTATATTTCACAAATATATCCATGTCTTTGCCTTTAGTTACAAAGATCTGAAGCATGTGACACTCGAAACTCATCACATTGAGTTGGAAGAGAAAGCTCGCCCTATTCGGCAGAAACAACGACAAATCAATTCTCCTACGGCTGTGGTGGTAAAAGAGGAGATTGACAAGTTGAGGAAGGCTGGTTTCATTTATGAGGTAGAAAATTCGGAATGGGTGTCTCCTAACCAAGTAAAGAGCATTTGATGTGTATGCTAAAATGGGTTCTATATAGACTTAACCAATCTCTTTAACAGTGATATGAGTAGATTAACACGTACATTTGCTCCAACAAATGGACCAAAAGTCAGCTAAATCTCAATTTATATTTTTCCCTTGAAGTTAAAACTATCATCAATTTATATTGATGAGCTTTAAAATTTTGGGAGTAGTTTTTTTTGTGTCGCTGAAATCAAAACTCAACTTAGCTTATGGTATAAGATGAAGGATTTAGATGGAGACTGGATGAACATAGTGCATATCAATACAGAAGTATTTTTATGCATCAAACTAGCTACACTACGGACTTACTCAGCAAATGAAACTTGACCACTTCATTTGATGAATCAATTTTGCTTCTGGTTGAACTTGTTTTCAAAGCAGATACAAATACGCCATCTGTTGACAACTCAAAATATTGTCACCTGATCTGTAAGCTCATTTTTTTTGTCACACTTGCACTTATATCTTGTTTGTTGTTGGCATGGGTAGGTTTTTTCATAAACCTACTAAAAAGGCATAACCAACCAAGAGCTCGGTTTATGCAAAAGTCGCATATGGTTCATTGGAATGCAATTCAACACCTCATATGATACATCAACGACACTATTAACTTTGGCTTACTTTACAAAAGGGGAGAACCATATATCCAAGGCTTTACTCACGTATATTACCTTAGTTGTCATGATATCCGCTAATCCGTTGGAACTCATATTTCTAAGCTTGCAAACAAATTAGTAGCTTGATCGTTCAAGCAACAACTCACAGTTTCCGATATCACAACTGAAGCGGTATGCAATGCATTGTAAGAAAGTGGCAAAGAGGCTGTGTATCTGAGGCGGTTAATACAAGAATGCAATTATGCTGAGTTACAATTCCATCACTAGGAGCCACATAATTCCACCAAGCTACTACCACGTCTTTGTCACTACTCCAATACATACTCTTTAGTTTCAGTCCAGTTTTGTACCTTAGTGTACCGATGATGTACCTTAGTACATACTTTAGCATCCAATGAGCTGCCATTAAAATTTGGGAGAGTCTAGTTATCCCTCACTTAGGGCTAATTAGCCCTCACTCTACTCTAGACTCATTTTTGATTAGTAGATTTAGGGTTCTTGGGATGAGTAGCACCTACTTCTAAAACAACATGTTCCACGAATCAGAGAATAGTTTATACTAGGGTAAGGTCTAATTAGCCCTAAGTGAGTGAAAACTAGTCTTCCCCTAACAATTTTGCGATAATGGGTGTTATTATGATATATAGTTACCAAGTGCAATATAATAAATAGATTAGAATAATTTGTGTTGTGTTAGATCTTCTTTGTCTTGTTCTCCTTGTTTCTAACCTGTTAAATTGAAGGTCGATTTACTCATCATCCATATCTACTTTGCTACTTAAGGAATCTTACTCTCATTAATAAAATATAGAGTTGAGTTCTTACTTCCTACATAAAATGCTAGCCGAACCTGCTTGCTCAGTGGTGAAGTAGAGAGCTTCATTGCACCACTGAACCTTCACATAAGATTCCTGGTGTAGGTATGCAAACGAAGGCAATTCTCTGAGATCTTGGTGTGCAAACTATTGCTGACTTGAAGAAATTTCCGTGAGTCAAACGTGTGAACAATTTACGAAGCATATAGAGTCGAAACTCTAAGCCTTTGATGGACAAAGATCCCAAGTCTAAAACTGTTGACAGTTCAATGAGACACTGTACAACATTGCAACAGCCAAGGGATGTTGTTCTGCGTTTGGGCACCAGATTTCATGAAGAATTTGATCTGATCTGGAAATTGGGCGTCCGCCGAAGTCTCTTAACTCCCACATGGCAGATCTGGGGTCGATGTGGTGGGAATTTTGCAAGCGTGGCAACCGACTTCCTGATGGAGCTCCTTTCGTCATCGCTGTCTACTGCTGCAGTTGGATTGGGTATAGAAGCTACTCTTAATGAATCTTTCATTTTTTGGGTTAGAATTTTCACACAATAAATACTTTTGAACCTGAAAACGAAAGTGGCGACCCTCGCTCGCGTTCGTAGCATGCGGTGGATCTTACAAGTCATGGGAACTCTCCGTGAAAGGATTTGATGGCCGTAATAAAAAACCCTTCACGGCGCGGGTGAGAATGAAAATTGGAGGCGGAAAAGACATGTTGTGATGGCGAATATAGCACACGACGACGGCAAGCATCACATGTGGCGGAGAAAATGACAAGAGAAGGTTGCAACCAACTATTTAAGAGGAGAGGAAGTTCAAAAGCTTTTTAATGTTAAACTTTAGAACATAATAAGGATTGTTAGGAGAGAAGAATAGTAAGGATCTTAAGCGAGAAAATCAAGTATAGTTGAGTGTTGATCATTGGAAGGTTGCATTGCGATTTAAAAGCTTAATATTTGGAAGTAAGTGCTAAAAAATGTTGTGCATGTCACCTCCAGATAAGATGCTAGACAGTTGTTCACCTTACTTAGTCACACAAGTCTAAGACGTCGAAAAACAATCCAATATTGTACTCATATTTTTATACTAATACGTTTTAACAGCAACCTATCAAAATTCAGCTCAGGTCGTGAATAACATTTTTTAGATTAATTATAACGTTATAATTAATTTAAGAGGGCAGGTGTAAGTTTCCTGAGACAAAAATTAAAAGGTTAGTATGTGTCCGTGGAAGCAGATTCACAAAGATGAAGGATGTGTCTACTATTTTCTTTATATCTTTTACTATGTCATCTTTTTTTGACAGCAGAACCACTTTATTTTGATTTGGTTTTAAATTTGAAGTAATAAATAATGAGAAAGTAATTAAATTTTATTTTTTAAGAAATAAAGACAGTGATGATGTTCTTTGGAATTTTAATGATCACTCTCAAGTCAAATATATGAAAAATTTGAAAAATCAAGTCAGATTGAAACAACAATCCATATGATTTCTAATTCTTTTGTATAATTTATAAATTTATATGATGTATAAGAATTTGTAGATTAATTTTCATTGATTTTATATTTCTGGAAGTTGATATAGTTTATTGAAATTAACTGCTTGACGTACAAATGTGATAATTGGGCAAATGAATTAATATGTATGAACATATTCAAAGCTTTAGCATTACATATTCAAGTAGAATCATCAATTGTTTAAGATAATACACGCACAAATCACCTGTATATAATGGACAAAAGATAAAAAATTATCAGAGAGACTGTTTGAAAGGAATATAATCATATTGATGATCTTCAGTTTTAAAAACTAATTTTTGAAATATTTCATTTTAATTTATAAGATATGTTGATCAAGTGAGAGAAATAATGAAAGTTAAAACACCAACAAAGTTTAGAATTTCTAAAAAATAAGATCATCATACTTACTTTAATAAAATATGCTCTGAGTGCATTTAAAACCAAGCTTGTACAGTATTTATGGCTTAACTGAACACCATTTTATGAACAAATCTCTTTTTATTATTTTGTGAAACACATTTTTTTCAAATAAAGTTAAATTATTTGAAATATTTTTTTATGAAAGAAATTTTCACTCCTTTTCCAACTTTGATATTTTATAACAACATCTTCTGTACACTATATAAAATATAAAACACTGCACAATTAACCTTGATCATATCACAAGCTAATAAAAAATTCTAATATATAGTATGATAACGATATTTAACGAACTTTACATTCAATAGGTCTTTAATTCATGCGAAAATTGCCAATTATTCAAAATTTATCTCTGAAGAAACTAATTGAAAGAAGAATCTGGTACTCAACCATTGTATAACAAAAAGTTTTAGATTCTGACTTCTCCTTTATATGTTTTATAGTTGATGAGATTCCAACAGTTTTCTCTAGAAAAGTTTCTAATCGTGTATCATTGTTGTGTCATCAATTTTCCAATAAAACAATTAAAATGAAACACCGATTTCATATCAATCGAACTGAAAGTACCTAACGTCAACATATTTACATGATAGATTTGTGATAACAGGACATATGCGTTCACGATTTTGATCCTTTAGTTGGATCTTTAAACCCTAAATATCTTAAATCTTCCTGCTTGGTGGTTGGATTGCTTATCGAAGAACATTATTTCATGTGATCAAGAGGAGAATAATTATGCTTCGTGACAGGTGTTGAATTACGATATTTCATGTAGAAAGCTCGTCTATGTTGACGGAGGAGTCATATTTCTCAATCCGAGGATTGTGGGGCCGCTTGGTTTCATCTCAGTCTCCCTCGATGGGGTCGAATCCGTCGTGTCTACAATATTTCTCGATGCTTCCCCGACTTCCAAACTTGATGATTGTGGAACACTTATCATAGCTCAATTCGTTTTCGTAGAGGAAAATTGCTGCATCCCATCAAGAGGACAAGCAATTGGAAACGTGCATGCGCCTGCGGGCGAGCGAGCGTGCGTGTGAATACACTTGAAGTTCAGTGGTAGACATCCAATTCTGTCCTGAGGAGCGCAATCGTCGGTCGATGATTCTAAAGCTTTTGGAGCATTTGGAGGTGAGTCGCTTTCCGGAAGAGAATCCGAGGGCATGTCCCAACACTCGTGCGAGCCTGCGACGGGCGTGGCCACCGAAAAGATTAAAATTGATTCCAGACAGGGAAGAGAAGAAGAGGGCAGGTACGTGCAATCGAGGCAGAATCTGGGCGATTGAATCCCTCCCATCAGAAAATTAATCAAATGCGCCAATTCCTACACTGTGATTCCCGAGTACGATGCGAAACGCAAGCGTGCACGGGCCAATGATCGGGCGGGCATGCACTCTGCCCGATCTCAGCGCGTGTGAGCTTGATCGACAAATTTCGACTCATGCTCGTGTAATCCGTCGTTGGAAGAGATATGCAGGCGTCCACACAAGCCCAAAAGATCACAGGCGGGAGTCAGCAAACGCGCATCGAGAAGCAGAGGAATAATATTCACTCTCCAGTGATCAGACTACTGGGCATCCCAGAAAAGCAAACTCTCGACACACAGTTCAGTTCGCAGCGTGAGAACTCGGATTTTGGGTCCGCCAGTGGCAGGTTCACCATGTTCCGCTCACACGGGCCGCATGAACCAACTGTTACGGGACGACATGAAGTCGACACCGCAAAGGTCACAATCACTCCAACAGGCCGCTAGTCGCTGGAGTGCAGTCCAGCGGAGGATCGATTGGATTAGGGATTGCATCGGTTAGGGTAGAAAACGTCGCGGAGTTCCAGAAGGAGTCACATTCCCGATTCCGGATCGGAGAAGGAGCGATTGCAGGGCCGGGGGTCGGAGGAGAGGAGAAGGGGCGGGGGAATCCGCACCCACCACCGACTGCTGACAGACGAGACGCAGGGCAGAGCAGGTAGGCAGTTGGAGGTGCGACATGCCACACCATAAATTTCCAACACACACAAAGGGGCCCTCGCGGACTCGCTCGGCCTACAAAGCAAAAAGCGGTCTGCGCTGTGAGGTGCAGACTGGTGCGGCCGCTGTTGGCTCATCATCGGACAAGCCATTGAAGGTTGATGCGATGGGAGAGTGCATTCATTCACTCATTCAACAAAATCAAGCATATGTTCCGAATCCGCACTGCGATTTTATTCGTGTCCGCGCGAGAAGATGCTAAAGTTTGTCTGCTCCAGAACCATTCATTCATTCTATCAGTCATTCATTCATTCAGTCATTCATTCCGATCCCTTCATCCTTCGAGCCACGGAGCTTCATGCTTCCATAACTCCCGAGCTTCGGAACAGATAGCATTTTCTGTCCGGAATTCATGCCCATCACCACTCACGAGTAGGTCTCGCGTGTTTCTGGGACATTATTGACGCTCGCACTCTGATTGCCGCTGGCTGTAATGGACCAACCTTTCGATTTGATTAAAGCTTGGATCTACTCCTTGATGCCAAGGCTGTGCGACGAACGACTTCTGGGCGGAGTTTTAATTCTTCGCCATACTATCTTTGCCCCTGTCGCGGGCCTGCGAATTCCACACTAATGAGCTCGCACTGCTAGAAGAGCAGCTCCTTAATGGCCCCTTTAATTCCGCATTAGCCTTAACTGCTCTCCCTGCCGCTGCTTCTGATCGTTAACCCACAACCAGCAAAGCAAGCTTTCCTGCCTTCAATGCCTCGCTGAGACCGTTCGGTCTTCGGATTAGCAGCCCGTTTCACAGATATTGCTCGGGATGCCACCATGTGCCCTCCAGTAGCACTCAGGCACGCTTCACTAGATGCTCAAAGTCAATCTGCAATCCGTGCACCAGCTCATTCGAGTTGGAACTTCGAAGCAATTCAAAATTATTACGGATTACGAGATGGCGAGTCTAATATTGGATTAGTCTAAGCAGCACTCCAGGCCACTTGCGCCAGTCCCTCGCTGCAGGTAGTGATGGTTTTATTTTAGCTCCCCTACTCTCGTCTACTCTACACTACGAGCGTTTGTTTGAATGTTGTGGGTGGGCGTTCCGTTAGAGAGGACAATGGTCTCGCTGAGTTGGTCGGCTCATTTCCTTCCGTTCCAGTCTTCAGATAGAACAAAGGTCAAACCGAAAGCTTTGTCTCCTCGGGTTTGAATCCCATCTCTGGTCTTCGGAAGCTCGAGTGACATTTGTCCCGCCATCGCTGGCATCTGGATAATCTCTTTTGCTTTCATCTTAAATATCTATTAATATAATATCAATGTTTATTCTTTTTACTTCGAACTGGAGGGTGACGTGTTTTACACGAGAGATGATTAAGTGCGTGAAAACATTTCTATACATTACGTAGACATGTGTACAATACGTAGTCCGTTTTTCGAGGGAAGAAAAAATGCATGAAAGCACTCACTGTTTTGATTGGGCATCATCCATGTCGTTGAATAGAAAGTTCTGCGCGGGGTCCTTAAATAAGTGTATAAGTACATTAGAACAAAATGATACAATCAAGATCGACCGCTGCGAATTGGTTGGCTTCCACATATAGAAAGCAGTAGTTTCAAAATAAAGCGTGAATTTCGGTTTCGGTTTTCAGAATTGCATAATACAACGCTCTCCAACATGTCCATGCAAAAGCCTGCAAGAATAAAAAGGGTGAATCTTCATGCATCATAAAGGATTGAAAGTTTGTAAGAAGAGGAAAAATGCACATAATTCAAACACTACGGATGGTATTCGATGTATGTGACTGAATAATTTTTACCACTCATTCCCTCCTGAAAAGCATCGGCATTCTTCAAAAAGAATCATCTTCAACATTTTGATGTACAAAGTCTGCTAGGAAATAAGTAGATACAGCATCATTTTTACTTCACAAAACGTGAAGAATGTGCAGAATGTGAGGAATATGATATACAACTGATGTGGCTAGATTCTTTAGTGATTTATGTGCACACTTTGGTTCTCATCGTGTGGGAAGAACTGATGACAGAAAAGCAGCACGAAATTCCTCATGATGAATTCTCCGACGTGTTGATGTCAAAGTCTGGATGGAATAGATAAATGAATAGATGAAGGAAGATTCAACAGAGCTCAAATATATCCAACAGAAGAAACAATAGAAAAGACTGTTTTGATGTCATGGCCTCTGTCGTAGCGTGGATCCGGGCCACTTGATGGTCGACAGTACTCCTCTGCTGATGAAGGCAACACGCACACCGCAGCAAACAATGTGAAATCCGGCGGTTGTGTCATCGAGAGGCTCGAGCAATGTCCATTGTGAACGAGCAAGAGCACGAACTCGCACACACTTCTGGCCCGATGCTCAGCAGGCTTTTGGACAGCGAACTCGATCGTGATGATGAGCGCGACCTGAACATGAAATAGACGCTTCCAAAGCTGCCACTATGAGACAGAGGAGTCTGGTGATGAAAGCAGGAAGAACTCCATTTCACCCACCCAAGTTCCAGTGTGTTCATGATTGCTCCTCGCAAAAATTCGTACGTTCCCCATGGAGAGTGGGCGGTGCGAAGGAAGACGTCTTAAAAAGTAAATCTAGTGGATTGATGGAACGGGATTGGCAATATATCATTCATGAGGCAGAGAGGAAGACAGATGAAAGAGGAAAGTCATTCAACTCGATTACAGCACAATACATTCGAGGAAAGGAGAGGATAGGCTTCTTAACTTCGCTGGTGATTTGTCTTGGCTTGCGTCTGCCATATTGGCAGAATAGTTGTATACTACTGGTGTCTGCAACGCTTGTAGATTTTCTTTCGGGGCAGTGATCAATGAGGGTGAGAATTTTAGGTGAGCTCAGTCACCCAGCTTGTCGGTGGATGCTAAAAATGAGCAGATTTTGCATCTTTATGTTAACCAGAACTGCTCATGTAAAAAGGTCATTCATTCTCGTTCATGAAGGTGAGAACTTGAGAATTTCAGACTGACACTTTATGTTAACGATAACTACTCATCCAAATACGTCATTCATCCTCGTTCATGAAGGTGGCAACTTGAGAATTTCAGACTGTGACATAATGTAAGATTGGGTTTTAAAGAAGAGCAGTGTGCTCATGATTCGACCTCATGGCACTTTGGCAAGATGGTCATAAGATTCTCCTTAAATTTTCTTGGAAAGGGACTATCATCACCAGCCGATCAGCACCCTAACCCAAGCTGGGTCCCTTCATAAGGTCATAAGGTGAGACCCCATTTATGCACAACATTTCCCACAGTTACTGCGGCAGTCTGGTTCTGGAGTCAAGAGCAGACATTCCAACTTCTTGTTTGCAGGTGTTGACTGCTAGAAACTTAAAAGCTTGAAATTTCATAAGGTGAGAGGGCCGTCATGTCCTCGCATGTGTTCCCGAGCAGCTTAAGTCCGTCAATAATAACTCACTCTATGTGCAGAAGTTGATGGATTGATGATTCTGCTCATCCGGGACGACAAGAATGTAATAAGATCCCTCATACAATCATTCTCATACTGTGCTTGAGAAATATTAAGACAGTCCTTACTCTACAATTCCAAATCTGGGGCCAAGCGGCTGTGATACCGTTACCTAGCCAACAAGGTCCAAAACTATTAACTTTCGTCCCACTAAATTTGGGAGAATCGTCTTCTTCTCCATGCAGACGACTTGTCTTTACAGAAGAAACAGTTTGCAAAATTAAGAATCGTTTAAAACATGGATTCCCAAGTTGACTCGTCCAAAACACGTCCCAGCTCGCTCACTCGTTATTCGGACCGCCAGCAGGGGATTGCCAAACTGTATCAGCAGTGTTCAGCAGTCTGCAGGATGCAAAAAAGTTGACAGCCAGACAATCATACTGTACGAGCTTGCTCCTCTCTTAAATCCTAAGATAACGTAAGACTTGACAGAAGGAAACGGATAAATAAATAAAACGGATATGTATGTTCTCCAATTATCGTCTGATCGGCGCAGCTGTACGCGACCATGCAGAGCAAAATTCGTGTACAGCTGCGCCCATCAGACGATGAATAGAGAGACTCGAACTCACTGAACACTTTCTGGGCTCGGTGAGCGAGAGTTTTCAGAAGATAAAGTTGGTCAATAATTCTGTATATGTAAGTGCTGCTTGTACTCTCTCGGTGAAGGCTTGAAGGCTTGAAGGCTCGAAGGCCATGGTCAGCTTCAGGTCTTAATGGACCGCCTTTCTACGGTTTGTTAAGTGGAGGGGGAAGTCTGAGAAGCCCAGGCCATGATGAAGTTCTTCATGGACTGGGGGATTATATTCCTGCCTGAGCATGGAATGAGACGAAATAATACGGAATGGACATGGAATGAAATGAATTGATCCTTTGATTTGACAGTGCAACGGCACCGAATATGATGGATGCCGTTGGCGTTTAAGACGTGATTTTAAGGGATTATGTGCCAAAAGCAAGCGCTGCGCTGCTGGTTGGCTCGAGCGGCGGTGCTCTTCTGGGCTCTCTGGAGTGTGGACTTTATACTTTCTGCGAACATCAGAAACTCACAGAACTTCCTCATTCGACTCTCTTGATGATTATGTCAAAAAGTTGCGAGCCAACAGGAACGCATGAATGCTTGGTTTGCATAATTCCGAGGTTTAATTCCCTGCCGCAGCATATTCTGTCTCCGGCCTGCAATCGAGGCTCGCTTGCTTGCTTTGCCTTGGCTTGGCTGTGCACCATGAGCCATGCCATGAGCTTTACTCTGTCTCCCTCTCTTCTCTGCCTCCGGCCAGGCCTGCAAGATTATTCAACCGCCCCCCGAATCGCTCAACGAGTCAACACAAAACAAAAACAAGACAAATCCAAAGCTTCTGCTCTTAAACTCGACGACTGGGCTCGAGCCTCGGCTCTTGAAGATGTTGTCGTTGTCGCTCGTCGACGAGTGTCTGCTGTTCACGCACAGCACAGCACAGCGCTCGGCATGGCATTGGCAGTGGCATGCGCATGGGCCCGGGCGAGCTGGACTGGACTGTGTTGGGAGCAATTTAAGAGAAAAGCATCGGCCACACTCGACGGAATTCAATGGCAATTAAGCGGGATTTGACTTGCGGAGAGGGCTGAGAAACGAGGCGATCAGAGCTCTGCTGCGGTCCACGCAGGGCAGGGCATGGCCGGGCTCTATCTTTCCACCAAATGCAATTTGAGGTTCCTTTAAGCCGCAAGCTTCAAAAGCAACAGATGCCGACCGGAGGCAGCATTTATAAGAAGAGTCGTTCGGAAGTGGAGAGGATGGGACGGCGAAGGGAGAGAACATAACTCCTGCGCTCAGACCAGCGCCCATGATTGCCCATCTCTTCCTCGGCCGTCGTTAAGGTGCGCTCGAGACGATAAGGCAGTCGCAGTCGCAGCAGGAGGATCCGGCCGCTTGCCATCCATCCTGCTAATTGGGCGTCCGTCACTGACATGTCGTGATCCGGGCGCCACGCACTTCGCGTTTCTGCGACCTCGCCCATGTTGACTTCATTAAATCCTTAACCCCATTCTCGACATCCCCGATTTCCCAGTGTTCTCCTCGGGGAGGCGGGCGGGGCATATTCTACTCATTCCTCGCATCATAACTCTGTTTTCTGCCGGACATTCTGCGTAATGGCGTCTCCGTGGAAGTGTTTCAATTCGCCGCTAAGAGAAACGAGCGACCACTCATTCATTTGATGAGTGGTGATCATCAGCAGCAGGGCCAAAATTGTAAGCAGCAATTTGTTGACTGCTCCGAAATGGGATGGGATGGGATGGGAGGGTCGGATCTCAGCTCAGCTGGATGATTCTCAAACCCCGTGCGTGGAAGCAGCTCGTTGAGCTGGCCGGCCGGCCGTCTGGCCGTCTGGGCAGTTCGACGGGGAGAGTACAATCATAGCTCACAGCGCTTGAGCGCGAAGGAAGAGTAGAGATTGGCGTAATTATGTGTCTGCATCGTGCCAATTAAGAGGTCTGAATCGAGTGTTAGTGTCGCGAAGAGTGTGCCTCTTCGGCTCTCTTCGCCAGAACCTCGACCGAAGTTCCGATCGAGCTCTCGAATCGCCCACATCACACCCTTCCGCTAAATGCAAGTACAGAGCCCCCGCTAGAATCCTCCACTTCTGCCGTCCCCAGGCAGCAGTGAGAAGCAGGAGTCGGGAAGATGTGAACGTGAAGTTTGACAATAATAGATTCCGAGGCGCGCAGTGCAGCGCTGTTCGGCAGAAGCTACATCCGGAGACCAAATTGGGATGTATGTAGCTCCCGGGATGCCCCGCCATGCCTACTACCTACAACACCTTCGTGCGAGGAAGGGAGGGAAGGAAGATGCGTGGGCGACTCGCTCGTTCAACGAGGTGGCACTTTTTAATTTAATTACGACCCTCTCGTTCCACTTGGACGAGGTCATGAACTGCAACTGGGGATTGGGACTAGGGACTAGGGACTCGAGCTCCGGACTCTACGAATGTCTACGATCGAAAAATCGAATGTATGAAGGAACACATGGCTCACAGTGCCGAGAGTGGACCGAGCGAATGAAGGGCAGGCCACGTTGATGGGCGTGGCACTCGCCTGGGCTGGCTGCCATGACGGAGGCATGAGTTTTGGCATTACTGCCCTGCACAACAAAGGCACAAACAACATGAAGGCAGGAGGAGGAGTCTAAGGAGATGAGGCTATTCCGAACGAGTCCACGGGCATAAATGAGGAGCCAAGCAACAGTGGGCTCTCGTGGACCCCCCCCCCGGGTGTTGATGAATCGTGGAGATCGAGAAATGTGATCGTTGGGCGAGGACAAGGCAATGTGGGGGGCGAGTGGAGGGAGGGACTGGAGAGATCATGGGGCTCGACAACAAGAAGCCCGGAGAAGCAGGCGGCTGGGGCCCAACGTACCCTGGCGGAATGAATGATCTGAAGCACTGCCAAGGGAAGGGATCATCTGGCCGATGATCTATGCCGGGATTTGTTTGTTTTACGCGTTCTTCTCCTTAAGGGACGCTGCAACGCAGTGATTGCGATTGCAGTGCAGGCCCAAGGAGCAGGCCGACGAGACATTAATTCTCCTGCAGCACCAGCTTTTTTGGGATGTTCCTCGGTCCTGTCCCATAATCACAAGCCCAGCTAGAGCTCCAGCTCCAGCTCCAGCCTTCTTCCCTTCCCCCTTCCTTCCTTCCTTCCTTCCGCAGGCCTGCTCCCCCTGCATCTCACCTTCCTTGCGGATGGATGATGGTGCGTGCGTTCGGACCTTCATGTGCTGCACGGAGATGAGATGGCATGTCCCTCGTCTGCGGGTCGTTCATCATCATGTGATCAGCCAGCACTAACCCGCTCATTATCAGAAAATTAGATCTGCACACCAAACATTCCTGCACATCCAGTGGAGCCGCCCAGCTCCAGCTCCAACTTGAGGGGTCCGGCCCTGGGACTATTTCGAGGCTTTTGCACAGCTCGATCCATCGCTGCCGGATCGGTTCGAGCACATGCAGCACCGACCCCGGATTCTAAAGAGCGCCTTCTTAGGCGGCTCTTGTTTTGCTGATTTTAGATTCAGCAAAGTGCGATTAGGAGGGCGGTTCCAATGTGGTTCTCGATCTCTTATCGATCCATGCTCAGGCATGTGGATGCCTCTGCTGCGTAGAGTGTCGAGGACACGGAGGGCACGTCCACAGTGACACACGCTTTGCATCCGAGCCTCTGAAAGATGCTTGACCAGCCATGATTAAGGAACTCCAATCCAGTTCCAGGATCTCAACCCTCCTCCTCCTCCTCCTCGGTTATGTATTTTATTTTAATTTTTTCTCGGTGAGAGGGACTGAGGCCCATGAACTTAACTGTGGTGCAAAAGCGCCGGGGGTATTCTCCTCGGGCTCAGCTACCCCGACCATCTTGACCGCTACAATGTACGTTTGGGTTAGGTCGTGACCTTCTTGCCGTCCGAGTCTTGATATTCATTCCGGCAGCAGTTACTAGGTGCTCACTGTGGACATGGGCAGCGCGAGTAGCAGGAGAGCAGTGGATGCCCGAGCAGGTTTAGGCAGTCATGGAACCTGGGCCAACATAATTCCTGACAAGTAGCGGACTGGGCATGGAAGGACTACATACCACCGTGCATACACAAGGAGCGTCATGCCATGTTGCGCCATCCATGGTTGGACAAGCGACAGAGGGCCTTTGGAGCCTGGACATTGATATGTTTTGTTGCTGCTCACCATCAATGGGAAGACCTGGAGAATCAAGGCTCCACTCATTAATGCAAGTTTGACGAGAGAAAGAAGACTTTCTTACTGATGAATTGTCAGCTCCCCTATCTGCCGTGGTCCTTACACGTATTTTCCCCATAAACGCCAGCCAGTAATGTTTCCATAGTGGCAAACAAAACAATCGCTGTTACGTGGACACGCATCAGCCCCCATCACTTCCGTGCTCTATGTCGCATTTGTGTTACTGTAACTACGCTTCGTGGCCACCGTAGTTATAGGCTCAATGCACAGAGACGGTTCACTGACGTACGTGACTGTCATTCATGCAGTGTAGAATACGCAAGCAATTTTCTATCTTGCCTCCCACTTTTGGTAGATTCAAAGCCGGAGTCAGATCGGCCTACGCATCCAGGCATTAAAAGAATGTTTCTACAGGAAGGAAGGAACCATTCTTCCATCCATCTCTTGCAAAGTCTTCCGAAGTACATGTAGTGGTTGTGTGATTGTTGCGGGTAGAGCCGAAGGAATGAATCGCGGAACGAGGTCAAAACGACTTGCTGGGAAAGTAGCAGTGGACATAAAGTGTGCATCAATTGAAGTTACAGTAGTTGGTAATCTCCAGAACCTCTGAGTGTTAAATGCGGTGAACTCCTGACCTCGGAAGAGTAATCGTCTATCCGCGCCAGGATTCTGTTTGAAACCCACAACCCGTGAAGGCCAATTTTACAGATGTAGGTAATTACACTGGGGGTCAAGAGTCCATTCTATTTACAGAGATTGCCCCTGGCGAGGCGTTGCACATGTGTGTGTAGTTTTGGCATCAGACAGAAATAAGACATTGGTGAGCACAAAAATGAGAGAAGGAGAGAGACGAAGAAAAAGACAGACGAAAATGTCATTTGCTATAATTGAAGCTTCCATCTTTATTGAATGCAGAGCGTGAATCAAATAGAGTTTGGTGCTTGCTGGTCTGGATTGGGAAACATGGATCAGGCAAAAGCAGACCGACAAACTGGCCCACTGGTACAAACTCCCCAACGGGCTCAGCTAAATTTCTACGACAAGACAATAATGTGACTAAATTACAAGTCAGGGATGACCCCAGAACAAGAGAAAGTCTCGTCTCAATTTCCTCAAACGTGTAAAGGCGGCTAAGTAGCCGATTCTAGTCACAGATCCTAGAGTTTATGTACTACTGAGGAAATCAAAATACAGTAGGAACCCAGTACATTTACGACTGGGACTGATCATTCAACCCACTGCAAATGTTTGTCAAAAGCCTGGCTAGAGAGGGTGAGTCGAAGCGACGGGAATTCATTTCTGATCAACTAACAAACAGAAATGAACGTTACACCTCTTTCTCAGTCCAAGAATTTTACAAGTAATCCTGCCTTTCCTGAATAACCTCAGCTTGGGCTTGCTCCAGAGCAAGAAACAAATGTATACATAGATACGTACGCATTCCAAGGATTCGGCAGAAATCTAAGGCAAAGGGAACGCACGCTCGGAACACAAGGTTGCTACCGTGTGCTCGGTTGGCTCCAAGAATGACGGCTCTTCTCAACCAAGGAAACTAACCGGAGTCTGATCAATCACACCATCATGATCCAGAACATGCCATGGCTGTCCAACCACAAACCATGAAAGTTTTAACAGCTGCGAAAGTGAGCTATAAGATATGGAGTATGGCATCACCTTAAAAAGTACAGGTAGGTTCCCCATGACTATCAATCCGGCTCTGCGAGCGAGCTGGTCACCTCACAGTAAAGGTACCTGCAAATTTATGGCAGAGAAAATTATATCCAGTCTACAGAAAAAGGGTATACGAACTATACTGGATACAACAGGCCTTACCATTCGACAACACTGGACTATTATACCTGGGATTGTTCTCACAATGAAATTGCCTGGTGGCATTAACTGAACAGAACGACTCCTACCATGTACAGATTGCAGAGTTAATCCTTGTCCCAGCCTAGATCCAACTGCTTCCATGGATGGCGTTCACTTTCGATGTAATCATCATTTTCGAATAGATATGAAAGATCATTCATGCTGCAAATTCACGAACAAACAAAGGGTCTTCCCTAAGCGAGACTGAACGAGAGCAGAACAGCACCAAGCCACCAACCAAAAATGCGCCGAGCAAGGCGCGCACCACGCAAAGCTCACACGGGACTGAAATCCATTCAAGACGAAAATGCTCAAGATACATGACGGGAACGGTCCTGTGGCCATAAATTGAATATAAATGAATCTTTCTACAAATATTTCTTACTGTGACCCAACACTGCACACATTCTCCAAAGACCTACTAACTCGACCATCTCCGATATTTGCCTCCACTCAAGCAAAACGAAGTCTTCCTCTGACTGAGTCCATTGCTTCAGATCACCCTCCACTCTAGGCAGAAACTTCACACCCTATCGAACTAAAAAAACCTTGGAACCTTTTTGCTAGCTTTACTTTGTACAGAATGGACAAATAGCCAACTTTGTCCACAAAACTGTGCCCATGTCGGCACAATAAATGGAAGGTGAAAGAAATATCAAAGTTTCACGAGAGCATAAGTCGCCCAGGTAGTCATCGAGGATGATTAAGGAAGACATTTGGATAAATAACAGAGATGATCGACAGGTTGGGGGAGCGATTTGCACAAGAAGCTTTCTCTGACCGTATCCAAGGAACCACACTCCACTGCCAGATATGTTCCCAGACTACTACTCTTCAGTGTCGTCAGATTCTCCTATCATGGGATGGAGCAAGTGCAGCTTTCAAAGCAGAGCCAGTCAAGTCAGCGCTGCTGGTCTTCTGTAGGTAGCCAAACACGAGTCTCCAAACAGCCTCATGATGGTCAGTGAGACAGGTGTGTCACCACTGCAAGGCCATCAGGGCCTAAAACTCCCAAGTGTTCTGCTGGCTTCTGATCAGAAGCAACAATAACACCTTCCAAATGCTAAACTGATCTCAATGACTCAATCTAATCACGACTGGGAGGGCTGTGAAGGGCGTTGCTGTCTGTAAGATTGTTGGCGTAAGACCATAGTTTATTACTGTCCCTCAGAGGGGACTTGCCCATTGGGCCATCTCGTCCTATTTTCTCATTATCCATACCAATATAGTCCGTCAGAGCTTTTCCCAATGAAGGAACCAGGGTCAACCTATCGCCGTGGGTAGATCGGGGGGAATTGGGAGTGACAGCAAGAGTGGGAGTCGGTGATCTGCTGGGTGACGAATACGGTGTTTCATACGGGGTATTAGAAGATCTGAGGCCAGGTGCGTTCAAGGACCTTCTTTGGGTAGAAGAAAACGAACGCCCACTGCCTGACGACGCTGGTGGTGCCAAGGAACGCCTGGCTAAGTCATCTGCGTACAGAACATCGTCAACGCGCGCAAGAATGTTGAACGCCAAGCTCTCCAATACGCGGGAATAGCTCTCCAAAATCGATTGTCCAACGTCCTGCAGCATCCAGGAACGGCTTTTCTTTAGGCTCAATACTAAAACAGACAGACTGGAGAGTTTGACCACGCAAATTTCAAAACCACCCCTCCAACGGGACCTTTCGTGACGGCAGAAAGGGGTTTGTGCAAACCTTGTTAAACTGAATTTTGTTCATGTCCAACGCTGTTTGAGGCAGCCCTGGAAATTTCTGCTTCAACATCAGCAAAATGGTTTCCGCTCTGTCTGCTATAAGTTCGCGCTTGTCCACGTCCCCAACGAGATCCTTCATCATTCCCCAAGAAGACTTGGCGAACCTGTGATCCTTTGCGTTGGCCAAGTTCGGGTTACTTTTGTTGTGAATCTTTCTTCTCCAAACGAGAATTGCTGTTTCTAGGCGATTAGCTATTTCTAAAGTAGAGTGTTCAGTTGACAAATCTACTGTGCTGAGAACTGCTTCTGGATTGAAGTTATCAGACACTAAGCTCGCGTATATCGTGTTCCCGAGGCTGGTCTTCCCATTCTGCACATGCAAAAAGATCAGTGGCTCGGTCAGATGCACATTCCACAATCTTGGAATCCCTCGGCCTTGAAGCAAAGAGTCAAGGACGATAATAAATATTGATGCCCTCCAAGACCTGATTACGGTGGACCGACTGCAGCTTTTGTTTTGACAGGCGCCCGAATGCGACATCTCGCCTTACCTTGGGAAGAGACTCCAAGTAAACTTCGGGAGCCTCCATCTCCGACAGGACGGAGCCATTGATAGCCATGGCCGCCTTGAGAATTTGACTCGTGCACTCTCGTTGGTACTGCAGCTTCTTTCTCGTGTCTTCAGAGAGCCCGGTGTTTGGAACCTTGGGTGTGGGCAGCCACCACTTCTCCTCCTGGCGTTGGACGGGATGTCTGTTCACGTTTCTCGGATCCTTATCCGCTACAGCAATGCCTCGGTCCACATACCAAAAGTCTGTGTCATGGAAGTTCTCCAGAGAGTCCTGCAGAACAACACGCAGCAAAGTATCAGATCGCTGCGTGCCGGGGGGGAAGGCTGATTATACAATCAGCCTCGTCAAAGCAAGCGGACTCTTCGCCGTCCTCATAGAGGAAAGGCGACTTACGAGGAGCATGGTGTCCAACTTTCGCAGCGCCGGGAGATTGACGTGCAGATCCGAGCGCGGTCTGCTGACCATAACCTGAGCACAATTCCACGTAATCCGAATTAGGTGTGCTCACGAGCAGTTATCAAGCAAAGCCCTTCAGACATTGCACGAACAGAGCCAAACGCAAGAAAAAAGCGCAGACGTCTCGCTCACCTCAAGACTACTCCCGTCAGGGAACGTTTGCCAAGAGGGCACGAGCTCGACAACATGATCACTGACTGACAGCAGCCACTCCATTTCCCTACGCCACATTGTCCTCCTCTCCGGCGCTAGCGGCTCCAGCCTCCACAACTCTCCAAATACGGAAGCTGTATAGCGAACCAACACGACGTCAGATTAACTCGCACGCACCCGATGATCGATGATCACTTGAACTAACGACCACGTTTCTTCCTCATGCCTAGTTCAAAATCATACCCCCCGCTGCCGAGCGGAGAAGATCCCAGGCGACCATGGCTTCTCGTTCGAGCGAGAGCGACGAGAGTCTGCAGACTAATCGTTCTTGCCCCGCCGAGACCAGGCCAAGAGAGGTTTCGGAATCAAGAAAAGAACTCGTATCCGGTCTCGCCTGCAGAACGTCGGGACGTCGAGCATTCCACATGCGGCCGTCCATTGTTTTGGTCTCAGATTGGTGATGAAGGCCGAGTCTCACCTGAAAGATTGGTAATCGCATTCGAGATCGCCAAGGCTGTACAAACTCCTTTTCCGCCGCCGGACATGTCCTCGCCGAGTAGGAGCTTGGCGAACCTCTCCTTCATCATTTCGACCTCTGCAGTGCATGACAACAAAAACTGCCGGTCAAGAACTCGCGTGGAGACGAGGGTGGAACATTCTACATCGACATGACCTTACACGACCCAACCTCGGATGAAACTGGACGAGCGAGTGGGGAAAGAAACCCCACGAAGAGCATTGCCGACGACTCGCAAGCTAGCAATCTTTCCGGAACATGGCGATTACAACTGATCGACCAATTGGAAGGAGGTCGTACCCGAGAGCTCGGTCTCGCGCTTCTCTCTTTTCTCTTCCCACATGAAGGACGAATTTCCGTGCAACTTGGGGCCTCCGGGTGATGCTTCGGAGCCGCTGCGTTCTCTCCTGCCCAGAGGCCAGCCTAGAGGAGACGAGCCATCCGAACTACTGGTTCCATCCTCGCCGTGCGCGTGACCATTGAGAGTATCCCCAGTGGTGTAGCTCATGTCCCCATCTCCTAACGCTTCCGAACACCCATCAATGCTGAAACTCGAACTCGCTCCGTCGATACTGCGTTGCTCCAATCTGTCGTCTGATATGCCCCTACCGCTACCGGCTTCCGAGAAAGAATTCGAAAGCATGCCCTTCATTCGAGCCATGAGATCTGTACGTCGCCACACAACAACAACGGGACACGCAGGTCAGAAACCTTGCACCACCGGAGGTCGGTATCAGCGCATCCGGCAATCGAGAGCAAAAGCCGGCCGACACTCGGAATCACAACAGTGGAAATGCGTTCCGGACGACAAGGCTGCATTACGGCGGAGACACGACGCTTTCACATTGCGACAATTTGCGGGAACGAGACATTGTACACGACAGAAAGACGATGGAAGTAGACGCGCAGGTCGCGAGAAACGAGTGGGAGGACGTGCGCAGAGGAAAGGAATGGGCAGCTGGAGGGGGAGAAGGGCGGCGAGCAGGAAGCGCGAGGCGGCAACGCGGGACCTACAAAATGCAGCGCAGCAGCTGATGGGATTGAGATCACACTGAACACGATCGCTGGCCTGGTAAGGCAGAACAAAGATCGGGGGGCGGCGATGGGAGGCTGAACTCCAGGTACTGGCCAACAAGCGCACTTCTGCGTCGTTTTCCTCACTCAAACCTCTCTGGCACGTTATTATCCTAAGGACTCGCAGAATCCAATAACCCAGCAAGGAGGCTGGCCGCTTCGACGAGAGAGCTCGCCCAACCGTCGCGAGACATTTACCTTCTTCAGCAGAGAGCCCTCGATCCATAGCCGAGCCACGTACAGCCCTTTCTGCGAGACTATCTTCTTCTCTCTTGCACACCCTGTTGCTCTGCCATGCTGCAGGAAGCAATTCCCACTCACGGTCCGCTCACTGAGAATGCCAGTTCTTACATCACCCGCGATTTCGTGCGATGCGAAAAGGTCGGGGCAATGTGGTGTGGATCGATCAATTCCTCTACGTTATTCCTGTTCTTCGGCTCTTTCTTTCTCCTGTGGCGGAAAACCCACTATGATCTGACGGCAATTGACTGCCTCGCTCACTCCGAAAGGTTCCGCAGCAGAGAGATCCAATCACAGCGTCCAGCAATCTCTCCAAATCAGGTGCTTCTTATCAAGTCACTTCTCCGCCGTCCAGGGTGCGTTGCCCCATGTTCGGTTCGACTCCTCTCCTCTCCCTCCACTCTTCTCCACCTCCTCGTCTTCGTCTTTTCTCGAGACACACGAGAAATTTTTCTTCGCAGAGATCGTTCCAAGATCTCCGAGATCACGCGGTGCTCTCACGTCTCCCGATTCAATCGACCCTTCTGCGTCCACAACAATCGTCGACCCTCTTCTCGAGCTGCCTCCGAGCTCGACAATGCTGTACTTCGGATGGACGAACAATTTCTTCTCCGCTCGAGCGGAATCAAGTCTCCGGCATTCCCCGCACACCAAAATCTGGCTTCTCCACCTCTCCTCCGCGACTCTCGCAGCTGCAGCTGGCCGCCCGAGCGCCGTTTCCCGTTCCTATGTCCGCACGCCACGCCACGCCCCCTCTCCACTCCTCTCCTCTCCTCTCTCTCCTCTCTCTCCGTGGAACTCTAAATAATCAAATCTTCTCTCGCTTCGTGCCTGGAAATGCTCGTCCCTCTCTCTGCAAGGTGATGATGATGATCACCGGATGTCCGCCTCTCTTACTCACAACATGCGAGATGACAGAGGCTGGAATCCCCGACCGAGACCAGGGGCAGCAGCAGCAAGCAAGCAAGCGAACAAGCGAGCGAGTGCGAAATGGGTGAAAGATAGAAAACGCCGTCTCCTCCTCCTCCTCCTCGTTCTCGCCTCCTCCACTCTCTCTCTCTCTCTCTCTCTCGGAGCAGTAGTGTGCTGGAGCTGCAGCAATGCGAGCGCAAGTGCAAGCGAGGGCGAGCAGAGCCGAGCAGCTAATGCCAATGCCAGCCTCGCTCGTGCGGAATGGCGTTATCGTTGCTTCTGCCTGCGGGGGCCCAATTTCCTTGCCTCGCCTTCCCTTACCCTCCCCTGCCCTCCCTCGCTCGCCTCAATGCGCGTCTCCGCTGCTCGGCTGCCACATCAGCAGCGGGCGCGGGCCCCGCCACGAGCCCCACAGATCTCTCACCCGTTTTCACCCCTCGCGTCGCGGCCTGGGCCCGTCCGCGACTGACGACGGCCTCTGCCCTCGACCCGTTTTCCCGAGGCTCTGACTGGCCTACTCCGCTCCGATCCTGCAGCTGCCGAGTTTAGAAAGCAGTCAAGTCGTTTGTGCCTCGGCCAACTAGAAATAGCGACGGCGAGAAAGCGAGCCGGACGGCCACTGGCCCCCCTCGTCTGCAGCTGCTCATGGTCTGCGCAGGCACGCAGGCAGCAGGCGCTCCTGTTGGGGCCCCCTGAATCCTCTGCTGATCTTCCTCCCCGTTGTGTGTCCCCCCCCCACCCCTCTCCTCTGACTCACCTTCGGGCTTCCCCCTCTCTCTCTTTCTCTCTCGCTCTTCTGCCACCGCCCCCTCCTCCATCGCCTGCCCTCCTCTCCTCTTCGTCCTGCTCTGCCCGTGGACCCCATCGCCCATCCATCCATCCATCCATCTAACTTAGTGCCAACCGAGAGGATTAAGCGTAATCCATCTCGGTTAATCGAATCAAATCTATTCCTTCTATCCCCGAATTCATGAGTCCGAGGGCTCGAGGGCCAACTGAGAGTATTAAGCTTAATCAATAATATCCGATTAATTGACGGATCCAGTTGAAGGGTTTAAATCTAGGCCGTCCATCTCCGAGCGCATGAGTCCGAGGGCTCGAGGGCCATATGAGAGGATTAAGCGTAGTCAATAACATCCGATTTATCGACGTTATACCGTTGAAGGATCAAATCTAGGCCGTCCATCCCCGAGATCGTGAGTCCGAGGGCTCGAGTGCCTAATGAGAGGATTGAGGTTAATTGATTTGTTCGATTAATTGACGGGATCGCGTCCAAGGAATCAAATCTAGGCCGTCCATCTCTGAGCTCATGAGTCCGAGGGCTGGAAGTCCAAATTAGAGAATTGAGCTTGATTGATTATTTTCTATTAATCGACGGGATATCGTTGAAGGAATCAAATCTAGGCCGTCCATCCCCGAGCTCATGAGTCCGAGGGCTCGAGGGCCAACCGAGAGGATTAAGCTTAAGTGACGGGATTCCGTTCGGGCTAAATAAAGGTTAGCCCGTTCCCTGCCTCCTGCCGCGACGTGGATCGGAATCATGTAGCCCGGCCGTCGACCATCTGCTGGCTGCTGAAGTTTCGTTGGTATTCGCGATCCGCAGCATCCTTGCAGGGCCTCGAGGAAGCACAAGTTCCATTGATCGCTCCTTCGGCGCGACCAGCAGCCCCGTCGCGAAGCTCGCTCACCGCGCCTCGTCCGGGCGATTGGCTGAGCCGGTGCCCGGTGGCATATGCGCCTCGAGACGTCGGTGACTTTACGTACCGATGATTTAGCAGCACCCGCTAGCCGAGCGTCCACTGATAATCCCCGATCTAACCTTCCTTTAGACTTTTCACGAGCCAGGCGTGACTCTTCCCATGCGTCCCTGCCCTGCCCCGCCCTACCATGCCATGCCATCTCCGGTCATGACATACCATCATCATGAAGGCCATACATACACCATATAGAATTCAAAAAAAGAAGAGGCATCGACGGGCGACGTTCATTCATTGCGCCGCTTCCCCGTTCACGGCGACCACGTACGACCTACGTATTCCATCGTCTCGTCGCTGCGGGACCGGCTGCCCCCGGCCGCTCCCTCCTCGGTTTCCCGTTACGCTTTTGGACGGGCCTCCGCCGACAAGAGAACACCCCCCATCGGCAAAGGCAGGTTTTGAAATATCGGCGGCGGTCACCGCCGGCAACCGGTGGGTCTGCAGCTCTCTCTCGCCTCGCCCGGCCACCGGCTACCCGTTGGGACAGGGCCGCCTTTACTCCTCCCGTCTACCCGCGCTGCTGCCACTGGCCGGCGGGACCATGGGCACGCCTGGACTCGACCCCAGGCTACGGGTGGGACTTTTTATTTTCGAGACGTCGGGGTTTAATATGGGATTTAAGGCGGTCGCCCATGATCAAATGTACAAGAAATCCAGGCTTAACTCGGTGATTATGGTAAGCTCACTGTAGACGTGCCATGGTTGGTGAGGGCCAGGACTACGAGTCTAGATTTACGTGTACATGGGTCGCCGGGTTGATGAGCCCAAGCATTGGTGCAATATCATGTTCTCGACCAACTAATGCGTACTATTTTTATTACGTCGTAGGAGTGGCGACTTTGCTCTCGGCCCGTCCCCCCGCGCCCGGCCCGGCCCGGCCCGTCGCGAGCGCGGGCGGGCCCCCCCACGAACTATGTTCTCTCGCCTCTCGTGGTTCGGCTCTCCATAGCTCCGAAACCGTGTTGGGTGCTGCACCTCCTCCTATGGCGGGGGAGCGTGGATGCGACCAATTACGACTCCGTCCTCCCGTCGATCGAGCTCGCCGTTCAAATGTGGCTGAATTATTGAAATGCGGGGGACATGATCATAATGTGCTCGTTCATGGACGGAAGGGAAGGACTCGAGGGAGGACGGCAAGAGTGTGTGCAAATGGAGTGAGTGAGTGAGTGATCGAGATTGGTTATAATGAGAATTGCATCGAATGATACGGCAAATATCGGAGGTCGTTTGAATTTTGAAATTTGGTGTTACGTTGAGATTACGTGTGACTGCATCTGCATCGCCTTCTTGACTCGAGTTTTTAGAGGACGGAGGAGTTCTTCGTAGGATCATTGCGCTGAAGATGATTTCGAGTACATGTGAGACTGGAAATCATACCGTGTTGTAGAAGACGTGAGGACGCTCTAGATGCCTTTGGTTCATTACACTTCATTGCTGGAAAAGCTGCTCTTCTTGCAGATTAGATCCGCTGGAATTCTGCACTTACCCGCTGGAATGCAACTTTTTGTTCATGATCACTGGAAAAGAAACCTCTGAAAGATGCAAATTTTGTTAGCGGATCCTTAAGTGTAATCACTTATTTAATCAGACACTGATTACTCTTTCAGCAGACGCTCACTCGTTGGATGCTTTGACCTCGGGTACAATTATCCAGCAACTCAGAACGATAAACAGATGTAGGTTTCTGAAATTGAGGGAGATTTATTTCCACTAATCATCAAATTCGTTACCTCATTATTTCCACGTTCTTCAGTACAGTACTAGCCTCGATCCATTGGTCCGTTGGTCCGTTCGTCGAGCCCACAGTTGTATCCCATTCTTCAGAACCAGTTTCGCCTTCTCATTCCAAAAACACCCAACGCCCAAAACGGAGCCTCCTTCCTATTCTGACGCAATAATATCTATAATATAAAAATAAATATTTCTTCACTCTATAATCTCCTGCCTCTCTCTCTCTATATATATCTATCTATGAATTTTAACAAACGAGGGGAAAGATCTGAGGTAGATCCATAACTTGACCACTTCTCACCGGCCCAACAAAGTCAAAAGAAAATGCGACGCCCCTGCGGTGGGATGATTGGGCCAAATCCAGGCAGACAATGTACAAACTGTACATCAACATTGCGATCTCCAGCATCAAGTGGTACAACTCAAAATCTGCTGTTCGTTCGTTCGTGCCTACTAGTTCTCAAGGTTTGATATGATTCCTCCTCGTACCGCAACATGGCAAGATTCAGTCGAATTAGGGCGTCATGTAACATAAGCACCACTTACTCGGCCGAGTAAGGCACAGTAAGGCAAGAACACGCAGCCAGCCATCCAACTAGCAACTAGCGACTAGCGACTCTTGGGTTCCTGTTTCCCTCCCCCGCCACCCAACAACAACCTAGAGAGAGCGAGGCGAGGCGAGGGCAAGGGGCCAGAGTGCTCGTCAGACTAGACTACAACCGCAACAGAACAGAACAGACTACAACGACTAGAACAGTCCCTTTTTTAATATTCAGGAGTTTAGAAGGTGTGGGGATGGGTGGCTGGCTGGGGGGATGGGGGGATGGATGGATGGATCAGGAGGGGGAGTGGACCCGAGGGGTGCAAATAATCAAAGCAAACCATTGATTTATCGGAAACCTAGGATAGCAGAACTATGAATGAGTGAAGAATAGCATTGGACCCGATTGGTGGGGCCCCGGACGGAGAGCACTGCCAGTGGAGGTGACAAAAGCGGGCGCGCGAGTAGATGGATCTAACACGATAACAATAAATGCTGGAGAATGCCGGGACTCATCAATTTATAGAAGGCCCTTCAGCTTTTGCAATTTATCGACCTCCCCAGGCGCGCATCTATTCTGTATTAGTGTACAATGGACGTATGCTCATCTCCCGACCTCTTGTGCTCTCGCGATTTACTTCCGAGCATGATCCATAGAGCCTGCTTACGTGCTATTCTAAATAATACACTCCGCATATTTAAGATCCTTCTTCGCGCATGATCCAAGTTTTTGTTCGAAGGATGTTATGGTGCTATTATTGATCTCGTCCATCCTCGTTAATGAGTCCAGGCCCTTTATGCTTGACTACCAAAGCATGAGCCAAATTTCCCTTCAACGAGATTTATCCGACCCACCTCCACCTGCGGTTGACTTCCCCACTTATGAGCCCCTGCCCCTCCCTCTCCCTCTCCCTGCTCCGCTTCCATGCATTCGCTTCACATGAATTGGTGCGACCATTACCATTACCATTACCAATGCCGTTCTGATCACGCATTATTTGGCACCCCGTATTCGCTAGGCTTCCGTTGCGCTGTGGCTCGATTGTGTCTTCGTCTCGGGGACATATATTTGGCAGAATTATGACCGATACGAGGTTTAAAGATGATGATTAAGGAGCTCATATTTGATTCTTGACAGCCGATCAGATAAGTTGACTTAACTCCACGGAGCCGATGCCAAATTCTTCGTCGTCTCCTGGAACATCCCATATTCAAGTTGCGCATCCAAAGTGTCGACGTAGAAGCTTCTGAAAGGATTCCCCTCCTCTTCCTCGGGTGTGCTCTGAGTGG